TGTAGCTGTGTGTGTGTGTGACAGAATGCAGAAATCTAACTTTTGAACATATTCCAACCCCCCAAAAAGACAAATTATGGAATTTTGTGCAACTGAATATTTCATTAATTTTGGTTGGTCTTCCTTGAGTTTGGCCTCATTGGCTCAGTGGGCATTATAACCTACAACTCTTGCACCAATTTTGAACATAACAATGAAGCTGGAAAAATGTAGTTGTTCACCAGCATCGCAATTCCATTACTTTTTATCCTGGCTTACCTTGGTGTGGTTTGCAAAGTGCTTCAGAAAGATGAGGAAATCTGTTTCTTGCACCCATCCCGATTTATTTCCACTACCAGTACTTCCTACTGGTCCATCTCTGACACAGTGGTCTGCATAATGTATGTGTGGGAACACAAACAGTGGAGGAATTGTGTTGCCAATGGCATTAACCGCATATACAAATGCGACCAGTGAACGTCTCTCTGCTGATGTCGTTGCCCCAACTTGTTTAATATAAGTTAAAGTAATAGTGCGGTAAGTTGTAACATCTGCATTATTGTTACAACTAACCCAGACTGTTGCTGTTACAACTGACCCAGACTCCTATAGCCATGAACTAGCTAACATTACAGCCAACGGCTAAAACATTAGCACTAAAGACCTACACAGAATATATCCCCATAGACATACAAATAACACAATTTAAGTTTGATGAGTTTAACTGCAAAGCAGATAATGCTATTAGAAATTGAAATAAAGTAGAAAAACTTACTTTTTGGCATACAAATTACTTTTTTTCATGTTAAATTGTCTGTGTTTGATAAAATGTGCTGATTTTTCACATGTGATAGCAGAACTGAATTGGGCATGCACAGGATGAGTCACATCATTTGAAACTTAGCCCTGATTGGAGAAATTGGAAGTGTTACAACTGACCCACGTTACAACTATCCCCGGTCTCCCCTACTTGCACTGGTTTCACTGGACAAGTCTGCAAGTGAATCTACAACTGATCTGACATTGTGGCACAAACACAGTAAACAAACACTACGAGCACCTTGTTTCATGTGCAGTGGCTTTCTTCTCATTCTGTTACTGAACACTGTATGAAAAGCCTCTCACTGCCAGCATCCTTCCAGCTCCACGACAACAAGACCAACTCACATCTTCACAACACCAAGAATTTTTCCCCTTTTCTTTGGAGAAACTGAGAAGCCAATAGGATTGTAGCTCAAACTTGCCCACAGTCCTGCTTCATCACTGCTCACTCCTACCTGTGTTGGTGCTCAGTGGACAGTCATTAGGGTTGCCAACTCCCTGAAAAATAAATAAGGGACACCTCGTGGCCAGGGCCGGGCAACCTAGTTGTCTTCACCCTTCCCAGTGTGGTAGCTCTTTTTTGTGTGTGTGAAATTATTTTTTAACCATTTGACTTGAATTTGATTTAAGCAGATGCATATTCTTTGTGATATGACCATATGGGAAACAAATGATCATTTAGCCATTTATTATTAGCTCAAAATGACAACATTAACACAGTAAAACAGGTCTCTTTCTTAACTTTTGAGAATTTAAGTAAATCTTTCTTTAAAAGAACTCTGTCCTGCTTAACTTAAAATTATATAAATTAATAGAAAGCAATAGAACGAAAAACATTCTTGTAACTGTGCACATATAGTGCATTTAGTACAATTGGCTTCAGTTGAGGTATTATTTCAGCTTTTCTAATGCTAATCAGCTGCTCCTGTTTGTAAACCCGCTTGTTCCCATGATTACGCATCTTAACTCATCATCATTATTCATCTATGTATTACTTTTATGTATTAGTCATCTATTTGTTGTAATCATCTATCCTTGCAGTTGTTTATTACACAAAATAAATTATATTATCACACTTCTGGCCACATACCGCTGATATTCACTGCACATGCCCATATTAACCTTAACCAGAGGGTTTAAAAAACAAACCAGTGTTTACATACCATATCTGCTTCTGCCGTGGCCTGGTGGACAAGAAATTGGTTAAGGGTTCCCCGAGCTTTCACGCCCCTCATGTTCTTCATGTGCCCCCACCATTAGAAGCATGCCTATGGAAAAAGTGCGCCGGCAGTGCGCTTTATAGGTGTTACGGTGACCTTTCCCAGCCAGGTCTTTCCCTTTTCCCATTCCTCCCTGTACTTTTGCAGCCTTTTTTTCTTTCTCTGAGGGAAACAAACATTGCTGCGCTAATGCTGGGCTCACACTGTGCGATCTTTGGCCCATTTTGAGCCGGTTTTTGAGTCGTGCGACCGATTTGGTGATCAGCCCGATTTTGGCCTTCATCGTGCATCGTGTAGTATACGTGGGGTAACGAGAAGCGATTAACACCTCGAGCAGCTCCCGATCATCAATCGCTCGTGAGCCGCTCACACTGCTCACGCGCAAACACGTAAACGTCGGTGAAAAAGACGGAGCAGCACGGCTGTGCAGCGTGTGATCTGGACACAAGCAGTACACAAGCGATGGAGGCACAACTTGTAGAACTTTGGAAAGCTCATCCGAGCCTTTTCGATGTGGCATCACAAAATTATCACGACCACAACAACCGTGAAGATAGTTGGATTTACACTGCTGCTCATTCACAGCTGCCTGATCATGTTTTTCATTAGCAATTTAGCAAAGTTGATGGTGGTGGTGTGTGTGTCTGTGTGAGTGAAAGACAGAGAGAGCGACAGATTTTCTGTTATAACCTTCATGTTATGGAGGCACAGTGTGAGCACTCGGGTCGCATCAGAGCATCGGGCGGTATAGTGTGAGACCTGCATCGTGACCTACCAACTTCTAACCCCTGCGAGTCAATCGTGCAGTTTGAGCAGGAGCTGAATAGCGTGACTGAAAAAAATCGCACAGTCTCTGCCCAGCTTTAGGTGTACTGTCGTCCGAGACTTGCACCGCCGTGACGGCGTTTGTTTCCCTGTTGGCCATGCTTCTTGTTGTGGTCATCTGTTGTCTTCCGGTATTTCTCCGCAAGCGACCTTTCCTCGACCAATGAGATGAGCGGTAATCTGAATTGTCATAAGTGTGCTGTCAGCTCATTGGTCACAAAGCAGGAGAGGTGCTGGGAATTATGCTTTCAAACAAAGCGTTAATTCCATTAACATTTATAGACTACTTTTGATTCTCACTGTATTACGGGACAAAGTGCGTCCCTTATTAGCTCAATACGGGACGTGTGCTTTTGTTTCTAAATACGGGACGATTCCGTTTTTTAAGGGACGGTTGGCAACCCTAACAGTCAGAGCCTGCTGTTAGCATGAATGCTAAACGTACTGCTGTGAATGATCAGCAGAAAAACATGTGGTCAGTTTGACTGTTTGCTGTATTTAAAGTGTTTTTCTCAGTTCGTCTGTATTCAAAGTGCATTCGGGCTTTAGCTGACAGCTCTTTGTGCTAACAAACTAAACTCTCTTAGTTTAAGCCAGCAGACTTTACCAAACACAAAGCCTGCTGCTGCCTCCATGGGTTAGCTTGTGTGACTGGTGCTTACAGCAATGAAATCTAAATCACACTAATGTGTCCTCCAAGGTGTTTGGTGGGAGCACTGAGTGAAACATAAGAGCTCTGGTTAAGCCTCATCAGCTGGATAGGCTGTCCACCCTAGTCCAGGCTTTAACTCAAATCTCTGATTGGCTTTCTAACAATTACCTTGTTAGAAGAAGACAGAGACCATGATCATAGCTCCTCCTGATCTATATTCTAAAATCAGTCAAGTTGTTGCCCCTTTCTGTTCTTCTGCTGAGCCAAATATTCGAAATCTTGGAGTAATATTTGACTCTTCTTTGGGCCTTGACTCACATGTAAAGTCTCTGTCTCGTTCCTGTTTCTTTCATTTAAGGAATATTTCTAAACTGCGACATATGGTCTCCTTAGCTGAACTGGAAAAAACTGTCCATGCATTTGTGTCATCGTGTTTAGATTATTGTAATTCCCTGTTTACCAGCTTGGATAAATCATCTCTTTCTCGCCTCCAAGCTGTACAAAACGCAGCAGCCAGACTACTAACTCGCTCTACCCAGCGAGCTCACATCACTCCTATTTTATGTTCTTTACATTGGCTCCCAATAGATTTTAGAATTCGTTTTAAATGATTGTTTTAACGTACAGAGCACTAAATGGCCCCAGATTATTTATCCAAGCTTCTCACTAAATACACTGCTGCTTGCTGTCTCCGCTCACAGACTCAGAGTTTGTTGGTTGCTCCCAGAACACGTCTGAAGATAAAAGGGGGCGGAGCCTTTCAGTCTGTGGCACCAAGGCTGTGGAACAGTCGACCTCTACAACTACGTTTGGTTGACTCTGTGGGATCCTTTAAAAAACAGTTAAAACTTTACTGTTTAAACAAGCTTTCTGTTGACCAATGCTGTTTACATTTTTATATTTTTAATTTACATTTAAACTCTATATTGTGTATATTATGCATTTTGCTATTTATCGTACTGTTTATTTTAATCTCTGTGTGCAGCACTTTGTGACTACCTGTCTATGAAAAGTGCTTAATAAATAAACTTTACTTACTTACTTACTAAAATAACAAACAGGGCTGTGAGAGCAACTGAAGTGATAAAAATACTGTTTAAAGATAAAAAACACTTTGATGTTCTCTCGTCACCTAACAAAGTCCAAACCCTGTGAACTATTTTAGCTTTAATAACTGTGGATTCAGGTATCCTGAACCCATCTTTGGACATTTGTAATTAAATATTTTTAAACTCCATCAGAGACTCCTGATGTGGCTGTTTGGAGAAGGAAAAGGGGACAAAGTGGAGCGTCGAGCTGAGGCTTCATTCACTGCAAACCTACAGTTATGTTTCCTTATTTCTGCTGTTTGCATGTTCACAGCTGAAATAAAGCTGCCTCTTTGACTTCATCCTGTTGTGTTTGGGTCCAATCCTGCCTGCCACACAGCGCTACAGGACAAAGTCTAAGATTTTTATCTTTTTAATGAATCTTTGGTCATATTTATCCAGGAAAACACAAACATGTAAAGGAGTCATCACAGTTCTCTGACCTCGTTTGTCCAGGTTCAGCACTGAAGAGTGGAGGGTAATCTTTGGACTCATCACTCCTCACAGACGGACAGCTGGATCCTGCAGACTGTGACCTCTGACCTCTGCAGACACAAACATGTTTTATTCAATGATCAATTCTCTGATAAAGTGATTGAAGCAGCTGTGATCACACAGACTGCAGATAATGCAGCTGTTTCCTGTCAGTAACAGTCCTCTTAGATTAGAGTTCAGCTTTTTACAGGAAAACAAATGTCCCTGAATGCAACAGTGAGACACAGTCTGCCTGTGTGGCTGTGATAGCTGCCGTTAGGAGCGCTCATGTGTTTGCAGTTAGACCAGGAGATGTTACCATCATGGACACGTTAACAAATCCTGCAGCATCACGTGGCACAAACACTTTGTGTTCCTGTAATCTGCAAGCAACAGGAAGTTCATTAATAAAGGCGGGATGGAGACGCGACTGATGGTTCTCCTTCATCCAGCTGTTACACACATCTGGGCTCACACGACGAGCCTTTGTCTAATACAGCAGCTGCTCTCTGAACACTTTTCTGAAGAGGAGCTGCACAAACCTTTGTTTGCTTTCTAGAGCAGCGTATCAAAGTCAAACTACCCACTGCTAGCAGCTGTTTCTATCATAGTTTAAGATCCAGATGTGTGAGGTCTAAATTTACACCTCTGATTAAAATACATAGTTAAAAACAGCCAATTGAGTCCAAATGTGTCTTAAACCAGATAAACTGACAGTTACAGCTGAGCCTGTGTGTCCTTGGAGACACTGCTCTGCTACAGAGATGCATTTTAGAAACCAGGAAACATCAAAATCATGTAAATCAGAGAGTTCTTGTTACTAACAGCTCACCTCTCTGCAGCAGAGACTTTAAACCAAATGATGGCATCTTTAGACACGTCACTCTTACAGGACACAGAGCTGGGTGGAGGTCCAGGCTGGTTCCTGTGAATAATGATGGAGCAGTGATGTGAGTGCTGTGCTGTGACATGGAGAAGAGTCATGGACAGTTAGAGATGGTCATCTCACCTCTGAGCTTTGGTCTGGCTCTCATGTTCCCCACACAGAGTGCTTTTAGAGGGAGGGACTCCCTCCTCTCTGTCCTCACACTGATCCATGCTGCTCAATTCACATCAGCTCACACACACTTTCTACCTTCACCTGCAGAGGAAACACAAATCAGCCCAGCGACACACTGACTGACCCACTCAGCACCCACTGATTAATTCAGACACGTTTTAATCCCCAAAAGTTGATTCTGTTCATCTGGATGTTTTCAGTGGGAGAAACGTTTCATGACTCATCCAGGTGACTCCTTCAGTCTCAGCTGACTGCAGGTTTCCAACCTTATAAACAGGACATTTGCACAATGGCTGGGAGGTCATGACCATTGATCAACAACCACTGCTCAATGGCCATGAGTCCCATTCACAGAGAGTTGTCTGCAATCACAGCATTACTAACCTAACCCTTACCTGGATGATTGAGCATCAAGACACTTTTTAATATTTTACTAATTTCTGAAGCTTTTTACCAACTTTGTTCAAATTGGTCTGCTGTCATTTTATTGTTGACAAAAAGAGATTTTGAGTTTGAGTGTTGACGTTTCCATGTGGGATGTTACTACAGAATACACTTTATATTGTGAGCACTTGGATGTTAGTCCAGTGGTCCTAAACTGACACACCTGCACCTGGATTCATTCTGACCAGATTTTAACCCAACAGTGTTTCATACTTAATACATCAGACACAAACTCTGCAGCTGTCATTGTGTGCAGTGTGTGTGCAGCGGGTCACTGTGTCCTATGTGTCCTCTGGAGTTCCCTGTATTAAGCACGTAAAACTGTGACACAAAAATCACAAAACTCGGACCACCACAGACTGTTTTCCTTCCTAGTGATGAAGGAAAACGCTGGGCTGGCATGCAAAGGGGCATTTATTCCCTTCAAGGACCTGAAGCTTCATAAAGCACCCCTCCAATAGCCAAACCCACCTGTTCTCTGATTGGATTGTTAAATTTGTGATTGACATGACATTGGCCAATCAGATGAAAGGAAGAAAAATAGGGACGCACTTGTAATTTGAAACTTGAAACTTGAGTGCAGAGTTTCACACGTATTGCTTGGCTAAGTTCACACACAAATTCTTTTTCCACCTACAAATCCTGATTTACAAGTACAAAATATTTATGACCACAATTTGAGCCCATACAGCCACAGACTGATGGAGGCAGGAGAAGCTGCCTACAGACATCAGTCAGTGGATCCACAGTAACATCGAGTTCAGCTGCTGATCATCAACTGTTTCTGTCTCGTTCCCAGACTCTGATCTCACATAAAACGAAGCAGATTTATGCTGAAACTAAGCTGCACACAGCTGATGTCAGCCAGGAAAACAGTACAGACTGCTAACGTTACCTTAACTTCGAGACGATCAACTGCGCCACAACATTCACGAAAGCCACGGAAGGACGGTCAGAGTCAGGAACCTCAGAAACGCATCAGGCTGGAGTTTAATTCTGTTTTCATCTTTAGAAACATCTGGAAATAGTTATAAAAATGCTGCGTAATAAAGAAAAATAGTGTAGATTAGTTTGAGTTGTGTTTATCTGAGCTGTGTCTTTAATCTGAAGTTCATTTTGTGGAGGAGCAGCAAGACTTTCAGTGTTACTCTCAGAGAAAGCCTCCCAAATGTCTGTTGTCTTAATAGTGGAATTATCTGGAAAATGAACCAGTTCTTATGAGCTGCTTTTCTGTATGAGCAGTCAAAGCATTTTATACAGCGTGCTTCATTCACACAAGCACTTCTTTTTCTAACAATGACACTATGATGGATGCATCGGAGAGCAAGTCGGGGTTCCACATCTTGCCCAAGGATACCGTGGCGTGCAGACTGGAGCAGCCAGGGATCAAACCTCCAACCTTCCAGTTAGTAATTCTACCTGCTGAGCTACAGTCTGTACTTCCTGAACAATCGTGGCTCAAGAGTTGGGAGTTCGTCTTGTAATCGGAAGGTTGCCGGTTCGAGCCCTGGCTTGGACAGTCTCGGTCGTTGTGTCCTTGGGCAAGACACTTCACCCGTTGCCTACTGGTGGTGGTCAGAGGGCCCGGTGGCGCCAGTGTCCGGCAGCCTCGCCTCTGTCAGTGCGCCCCAGGGTGGCTGTGGCTACAATGTAGCTTGCCATCACCAGTGTGTGAATGTGTGTGTGAATGGGTGGATGACTGGATATGTAAAGCGCTTTGGGGTCCTTAGGGGACTAGTAAAGCGCTATATAAATACAGGCCATTTACCATTTAACAACACACCCTCCTTTTGTTTCTTTATTTCCAGTAGCAACCAGGACCATAATGAACCCTGACTCCCACAGACACTCAGGATCCACCTGCCCAGTAAGTCACCCGCTAACTGCAACTATCAGAGCCCTGACCTTCTGCAGAGACGAGTCACACTGAACACAGCAAGTGTCCCTACTCTCAGATACAAAACCTGCCTTTAAAAGTTCAGAGTAATGAAATCAGCAGTTCTGATTCTAGAATTTGTAGTCTCACACACTTTTGTTGTTTTGGTTCACATCGGTTGATATTCTGCTGCAAACAACTAATGAGAACATTTTATAAACCTTTGAGTGTCCATCAGGCTCCTGTAGAAACAGCTTCCATCTCAAATACTAAACATCATTATTTACATTCTGTTTATTTATTTTTTTAAAGTCACTCTAGCACAGATTTCTTTAGCTGAATGTCTTTCTGTGTCTTCCATAGAAACATTAAACATGAAAACACTCAACACAGCAACACTGAAAGCATTTGAGTGTAACTTTCATTCAAATCAAACTTTATACACAATTACAATAATGGAAAAAAGACAATCTAAATAGTAATACACAACAACCACTGCAGAAATAAATAAAAGAAAACCAAACACAATCCAGACATGAATACACAAATATATTTAAATCTATATATTTATACATTTTAATATGATGTAAAAGAAAACAAATACGAAACCTATCAAACTACCAATATAAAAAAAACAAGACCAGAATCAGAGAGACTTTATTTATCCCCAAGGGCCAATTAACATACAACAGAGCAGCATGACGTTGAAGATCAGCACAATAAAAGTGAGATAATAAATACACAGAATATACAGTGTTAAAATTACACAGTTTTAAAATTAAAGTGACTGAAGGTGAATAAATAACTGTAAGTGACTAAAAGTGAGTAAAGTGTTGGTATAAGAGTGTAGTTTATGTTTCTGTGGGAAATGTTCTTATCAGCTGGAGTTAAAAAGCAGAGCTGCTTTGGGGACAAAGGTGGCGCTCCTCCTCCTCTCGGTCCTGCAGGAAATGCAGCGGAGGCTTCGCTCAGAGGGGAGCCGCTGAAATGCAGGGTGAAGAATGTGAGAGGGGTCGTTGATGATTTTGGCTGCGTGTCTAAGGGCCTGTTGATGAAAACCTGCCAGAGTTCTGACAGGCAGGCCAATGATTTTAGAGCACACTGATGCTGCAGTCTGTTCCTGTATGAAGGCTGAGGGAGTGGGACCAGCAGCTGATGGAGAAGGTCATGATGCTTTCAGGAAGACGTAGTAAAAAGTCATCATGATGGGTGTGCTGACTCCAAAGGAGTTGAGTTTCCTAAGGAGGTTTAGCCACCATGTCCCCTGCATGCTGGTAAGGCCTGGTTAACACACACATCAGCGTGAACAAAGTGGGAAATGTGTTTCTTCTAATTTTGTTACCATTTTTATTTAAGAAAAAAGCATTAAAAGTGCCAGGACACGTGTAAGTAAGTAAATGCCAAACACAGCTTCTTATCATTGCAAACTCTTATGGCTGCAAATGTTTTACAATAAAAGCAAACGTAAGCATTTGTGAAAACAAGAAACAGCTCAATGATTTGCTAAATTTGTACTGTAGCATCCATCAAGAGGGTTTCCCAGGTTTTCACTAATGCTGCTAAAAAAGCTGCATGTACATGTTAGCAGGCGTAACAGGCCCCGGGATGATGGACAGTGTGCACCAGCTGGTTAGAACAAAGGAAATAATCAAATAAAATCATCGTTTTATTTCATCAACACACATAAAGGCCAGTTCACAAAAACTGACAAGCATTAGCTAACAGCTAACATGTAAAGGACGTGTGCAGGAGCCTGGATGCAGTTTGTGGAGTTTATATGATCAACATAGTTTTTGGGTTAAAGGTTAAAAGTATAAAGTTAAGGCTCACTTGCTTAGAGTTGTATTATATGGGAAGCAGTGCTTACAGACTGACATAGTTGGATTTCTTTTGCTTCAAATGTATGCTTTTATTTTGATAGTCTGACAGAGACAGGAAGTTAGCTGCCTCTCAGTCTCTCTGTTTGAACTGAACTTTGTAAGACTTTGATCCTTCTGGATTCAGGCACGTGTAGCTGCTCTGGACATTTGTACGGAAATATTTAAAACTGGACTCCTGCTGATTTTTGGAGAAACAGGGACTCAGTGGAGCGTCGAGCTGAGGCTTCATTCACTGGAAAGCTACAAAGTGCATTCATTTATCTTAACAAGCAAAGTTGATGTGATGTGACTGAAAAAACAAATATTTCTATTTTTCTGAACTTTCATCAGCTTGCTGAGCAGAAACATCTATGAAGAGTCCAGTCAGTGATTATTACTCATTAGAAGGGAAGATGAAGAATCCTGGTGTTGGAAGCTCACACTGTCTGCACTGTGCATGCAAAGTCCACTGAATGAATGAACCAGTGAATGTAGGAAGTGCCCACTGTTTCTGTAAGTATGGGAGGACCCACCTCTCTCTGCAGATGTCCCTGACACAGGCGGCCCTGGCCAGGATCTGCTCCCACTGGGCGTCCCTCCCCAGCACCGTCCTGCTGGCTCATTAGACGCTGCAGCTCTGGGTAGACCCGGTCCTTACAGACATGACCAAAGCAGCACACAATCAAAGACAAACAGAATCTTTGAACACATGAATATGACATTTATAGTAATGCCTTATTATTGCAAACCTGTTTTTTCCACAGAGCGGTCATGAGGCGCAGTCCCACTGCTCTCAGCTTGGGGGAGCCGGCC